TGGGACACCGCATAGTACCTGATCCTCAGACAACGGTACGTCAGATACTGAATGGAATTTTTGTCCAAAACGGGCCAAAAAACGTGTTCAGAACTGGTTGTAAATAAGTTATGCACAATCTTCGTTGGCTTAGGTTTTGTTAGTTGTTATGCAACATACCAGCCCTCTCCTGATAAAGGAGATTGTCCACGACAGAACCGTCACAAAATAGATGAAATTACGTAGCTTCCAATTTCTTCCCGAACATAAAAGTAACTTCAAGTAAGGTTGGCTTTGAAGGCGATTCTACTGATTTCATTTGATCCCCGTTTTGGCTACAACAAGGCTCTCATTTGATGAGGATAAGGTGTGATCTTCTTAATGAGTTTAACATGCTAACTGAATGTCCCATGTGTTTCGGTTCGCAGGAATTCGTGAAATATGATTCGTAAATTCGGTGCATCATAAAAACCGGTATTACTTCGACTGAAATGCACAGGACTGCTGGAATCACCTACCTTTATCTGACACACCTAATTTTGGGGAGAACCGTTTTATTGAAGGGAAATATTCGCGTTGCAAAGTTACGTTTCTCAATGTGCATCTCAAAACCGAGAAGCAACATAGTCTGTTTCACTTTTTTGAAGGCTACTTTAATTGGCCTGTATTCGTAAAGTTTTCCTTACGTTGAATTGTTAAGATGCTCCGACATGATCTAGCAAATTGTGCTGACCCCTAAATGCACACCACAAATCTATCCTTAACCGTTGTTTGAACGTTAAGTATTAGCATTTGAAAGTGTTTATTGAAAACTTAAAAACCCCCTCAGACAGTCGCAGGTTTTCTGGAATTCGCTTTGGCGTACTCAAGGTCGAACTTTTGGCACGGAATTCCTGAGCTTAATGGCTGATGATGGTCCAGCACAATGTCTACTAGAAGACGGAAATTTGCTGGATAAGTTAGTTTCTCTACGCGCTTTCTACTGAATTATATTTTGAAATATTTGGAGGACTATATGAAAAATAACTGCATCCTTTGTTCCGCACAATTTCAAAATGAAGCAGTCGTTCGCGACTTGTAGAGGAAAAGGTTTCCATTGTTGCAGCAGGCGTCCCACCATATGAGGTGAAGGAATTCGTCACGGATAGTAAGGTTGTTTGTATTTTTATAATACCATTCACTAAATCGGGTGACCTGAAACTCTGAATCTTACGTGATATTTACGTCGGCCTTCTTTCGCTGAATACAGCGGCGTCTGTCATACAGTGTTTCAACAACTGCAACAAGAGCAGTTCGTCTTTTCGGATATGCCTCCTTCACATCTTTAGGATAGTTCTCAAATCCTATGTAAGAAGACATACAAAAGGTATATCCCATTTCTATAAATTCCGCCTCATTTTCAAGAAAATGGAGCGTATTGACTATTTACCTTGAAAATATTTGACTTATTTCAGGTGGTTCTTGCGGAAACTTCTACCTCAGCATCTGACGCACAAGGCAGTGGACATCAGACCTAGAACCAAGGGTGACGGGAAAAAGGCATCAAGGATGAATGGTATTACTGCTGTACACAATAGTGGATAATGCTGTGCTGGACTCCGTTAAATGTTGGGCGATCGGGATGTGTGTTTTTAGAGCTGACGTTTTCTGACCCTTTTCTTTCGAAGGCAGCATCGCCGCCTCAATCAATTTGGAAATGTTGGTCGCCTTGGAGAAAAAACTCACCGTTCTCACATTCCTGTTGGAAAGAACAGTTCGGCTGACCGCCAGATCACCTTGTAATACGATTTCTCAAAGTTATAGGACACACTGCTCTTCGTCGGACTGTCCCGTATTAGTTTTTCGGGGATGACTGACATTAAAGTACTGATTCGCCAATCTGTTGTATCTGACTGCTCCCCCAGCGCCTAGGGGCGGGAAAAGGACTCACAGAAGGGAACATAACATATTTATTTGGAACAAGCGAGTGTGAGAGCGTGAGTGCGTGAGAGTGCCAAATTACAACGGTCTCAAGCACTGGCTGAACTTGGTCCAATGCTGACGCACGCGGTCTGGCCTTAGTACGAGGCTGTGACACTCTGCATGTTGCGGGGGCGTTGTCTATCCGGTCAGCATCTAGCGGAGCTGAGGGCATTCAGTGGTTACTTTCAGGAATCTGACCTTCCTGATATAAGGGAACTGAGCTCCAGGCAGTATAACCCGCAGGGTCATCATAGCACTGAAGATCGATTTACCAAGACAAGGTGACAGCTTGTGGTCTACAACTCTTTATATATAGGCTTGTGAAAAAGTTCCCAACTTTGTGTTTGCTGTGTCATGTATTATCTGCGAGGCTGGTTTCGCGTGAGACAGTTTTCATTCATTCATGATCAGCAATAATGGATAAACTAAAGTAATTGTCCATACCAAGGGTTGACCCAACTTCATTCAACGCTGAATGGTTAAAAAATGTACATTGATGGGGCATTTGTTCACATGTCTCTGCCATTGTGCAGTGTTTAGCAAATCTGGAATCACCGCACACGAATGCCTCATCCAGAAGGGAAGAATGTGGGAAGAATTCTACCTCAACCAATTTTCAAAATCGAGTACGCTCACAAAAATTTCACAAGGAATATCTAATTGGGACACTGCTAAGGCTTCTATGGAGCCGCATGATACCAGTGAGGTCAACAGCTCAATAACGCATGATATCGGTCTTTTCCCACTGAGTGAAAGTATACAAGCATACAATGTAGTACGAAAAATAAGGTGTTGAGCCAAGAATGAACGTCAAGGTAAAACACATGGATGAAGCACAGCCGCGTAAGCTAAACAAAACTTGGAATTCATCATCAAAATCTCAGCAAACCAGTTCTGAAAGGAAATATTTTGGGTCAATGAGGGGTGACGGAATGGCTGTGAGGACACAACCTAAAAATGACGAGGTTTTGGTGTGATTCTGAAGTTTTAAATGCCAATAACAGCATCATAGAATTAAAGACAAAATGAAAGCAAACAACGCTGTGAAATGTTTTCCCCAACGAAACAGTCCGTGTTCACGAAATAATATATTCTTCCGAGAAAAAATAAAGTCAGGATTTGCTTGGTAACCGGAGGCCGTTGATGACCTTCCTGTAAGCTGTACCAGATTTCTGGTTACGTCCTATTGTCAGTCGCAGTCAACATTGGGTGGTAAGAGGGGTGAACCTCATGCGGAAACTGAAAGTATGAAAGCTGGGAATGATGCTGGACTCGTCACCTACGCAAACTTCATCATCCGCCATATGACAGAAGTTAATTCCTTGTCCTTGATCATTTTCGTAGAAGTTTACCGTGTTAAACACCATCATTTGAACCAAGGAAAAGCCTCGGTGGTGACGGCACCTTTTCGTCATTCAAACAGGTTTATGGTAGCAGTGCCCTAAATGATGATACTGGCAGTCATCACAAGGTAGGAATGAGTTAGTTGGCCAATAAACCTCAAGCACTTCAGAGTATTTCGAAATTCCTCAAATATTCAAAAATGTGTTGTTAATAATCCTACTACCGGTACACCACACGCACTGCCTTGTAGTCAAGCTTGTGTTAGAAACGTGTTTGTTTTTTAAACCACTAGACTTCAACTGAACAAAACTGATGAGGCTGGGCTGATAAACAGCACAGAGGCTTTGACGCGACTAATTTCCGATGGATGTTCTGGTAATTCCACCTGATCCTGTTTCGTCCTTACATGAGTGACCAGTCACGGCCATACAGTCAGATTCATTCAAACCGTTGCACAACAATCGAGCAGATTTACAAGTTTGGCCAATACCTAACAATTTTCAATGAAATGCGCCAAAACTATCCAACTACACCTTAGAATAATCGACTAGATTCCCAAACAGCTTCGAGACAGTATGATTTTTCGTAAATACACTTATTTGCGTAGCTGTTTGCGTTTTCACGGGGGAATCAGCTGAATCTCAGTTGATTCATTCGTTTATGATGCGTGTTATGTCTACAATATCTCTCATGTTTTCATTGCATACATTACCGACAGGTTTGCTCCCAAATCTGTAAGTGGTTGGGGCCAAATGGACTTTGAAGGTGGGCCCGAATAGTCCACAAGTGGCCGAAACATTCTCTTTCTGGTCGATGATCAATAAGAATGCTAATAGTGATCTCAAAAGCTGTAAGTATTCGAATCATGCAACCTGCAATCAGCATTCGCCTGAAGAATACAGACAGACATCTGGGAGCTGAAATGCAAGTGAAGGTGGGTGTAATTCGTAGATTTAAAGCGCAATCTAACTGTGTAGCCTATCTGGCAGATTCTCTGAAGGCTTCTGTTATTCGGTCACACCAGACATCTTTCTTTAAGTTGCAGTCCCCGATCCTCGCCATACACAATCCAGCACATACTCCAAGCGATCGCTCCAAACTAAGTTGCTCTGTATCAAACCACATTTCTTTGTTTAAGCAATATCATCGCATACCATCATACCAGCACATATTAAGGCCACATGTTTCTATTAGCATTATGGAGTCCAGCTCCCATTTTCAGTGATGTTGCCGGCAAAGTTATGAAATTGTGTCGGATATATAGGAACCCCAGCTAGCCCTACTGAATAGCGGCGTGAATGAACCTCGAACGATCGGAGCATTTTCCTTTTTTAGACCTTCAGTTAATAGATCGTTTTTGATTATCGATTTTTTGAAGCTTGCGTAATTGGCTCCTTGCATTTCAGTCTTTTTATCCAGCTATACAAAACACTGTGACTCCAACACAATAATATCCTGCCACAGTAGACTTTCACAGGTAATCGTCCCACGTTGAACGTGGAGCGTTGAAAATCTAATGGAAAATTTTGACAGCACACCCTGGTCCGTGCAACTGATGATACCATTACCCGGTATAATTCACCGTTGCTCCAGTGTTTTCAACCAAATTCTCCTTCAGTTATCTGTGATACAGTGAACCAGCTGATTTTAACATAAGGCTAATCACCGAAGGGAATCTGAGGCAGCATCGAACAGTGACCAGCCTCCAGGCTGTTCCCGTTACATTAGATTTACGTGTCTGTACGTCGGCTGTTTGAAAGTCAGCTGACGGCAGTGAATGGCTGAAAATTCAGTGTTTGTTCATGATGAGCAAGTTGAAAGTAGTGATTTCATTATCTGACCATTGCACAACAGGCCTGAAAGATTTCCATTAGGCAGTTAATCTACGGTGAAAAAACTAATTTACTGTTAGATCTTCCGCATTCTTCCCGCTAATTTGTACAGTCGATATGGGCCATAAAGTGTAAGAAGGATGAGGAGCAGTTTGGTCCTACGTACACCGGCTTCTTAAAAAGGGCACCGAGGTTTTTGCATGAAATCCAATTCAAAGTAGGCGTACCTGAGATAGTGAGGTTTGAACTAACTTTGTTGTACTTACTAGTGGACAGACTGGTTTGAAGAAAAGCTGCAAGTCGAAGACGGGGGAACACAAAAAAGGACAACTAGTCTTTAGTCTAACCCATTTCGGTTTTTCAGCCATAAGCTATCCACAGACCTATGTTTGTTGGGACTGCTGACAAGTTATTTCTTATGAGTAGGGGTAAAATTTGCTTTAAGAGTTTACGAAGAATGAAGGTGTAGTGAAAGTGCAACCCGACTGACTGAGCATTCGAAAGCGGTTGGTATGGCATTTTTTCATGTTACATCATGCTGACCCGAAAGACGAGCACAAGGTGGGTTAAGTAAACCCACTTCAATTTGAAAAGACAACCATGATCACAACCATAAGATGAAGGTCTACTGGAACATCAATAGCTGAAGGGAGTTTATTGCTGCTGATTAGGTGGTCACTTATCTCTTCTTTGAGCTTGGTAACCAAGTTTCAAACTGATTGCCAAGTTCAGTGAACAAAACAACGATCACCTGATCAACCACTCAGAACCATAATATTTACACGTAGAGCATTTGGTGATTCAAAACGTGGAACATAATAATACCGAAGAAAAATTTTCCAACTTCATTTACCAATGAAATACAGGAGGATGACCATGTAGTAAGGGAAAATCTCTCAACGATGACCTTTTCCTTGATGAAATTCGACGGTCCATTGTGAGTTTTCGTTTTCAGTAAATAAACACATGAACTCCAATCAATACAATGGACGTTATGCTGTCTGTTGCTGCTTCGTCTAGAGTACTCTGGATGAATAAACACAACAGATACAGATCGATATAGACATTTATAGCAGCGTACTACATCATTCTATTCCTACAGTTTTTTTTTACTGAATATGAAATAAGGAACCCTCGTGGTAGTTAGATACTCTTTATGAACTGAATTTTAAGTCTTTCACAACCAATAAGCTACAAATCCAGAGATGAGATATACTTCATATTGTATACAAGGCCGCAAGCGCGTGAGGTATAACATTGACCTGATCACCCATAGACTAGAACCAACATAAACAAACATAAGATCGATAATACCAAAAAACAAAATGTTTTCTGGAGAAGTCACTGTCGGAAGACCCAGCTTTTATATTGCACGTGCTACAGAAACAGCGTGATGGTTTCAGCTACGACTGAGAGCAGACTCTGAAGAGTGATTGAGCAAACCAAGGCGGGGAAGATTATTGGACTGCCATTTTTTCACGAGATATGAACACAAAATCCGGCTTGAGAGGCAAAGTAGTTATGGAATAACGAATGGAAGCGCTTAAACACTCCAGTATGAACCCGAAAGACAATATCGTTTGCACTAATCAGACCAGTCCCAACCGTCTGTGTACCGGAATAAGGCGCTTCTGATGAGTACTTAGATTAAGTTCGTCACACACTTTCTGTCCTGGAACGGCTGGTTAAAAATAGGCTGCAGAACCTGAATCGTATCAAAATGCAACAAAGCACTACAAAATTATGGGAACGCATAAGATTTCACCATTATTGCAACCATCATGAGTAGAGTGAGATAATTTTTGATAGGCAGGTTGTCGATTCCTGTCGAAAATGGGTCACAGAATCTCGTGAAAAAAAAGCTTTGCTTGGCTGGCATAAAATCATGAAGAACGATTAATGGAGGCGGAAAAATTATAAGACTAGTTTGGCACCTTCTCGATGAAAAAGATCTCAATAATAGTCCCTTAACTACTGCTTCGCAACATTTATAAATTACTTTTCTAGGATTTCAACGAGTGCCACATACATATTTCTGACTCACAAGAGTCTTGGGCTCATTAACGCTTGCACTTTTGTGCAGTCCCTGTGCCAACATACTCTACGTGACCTTATAATGGTATGTCGAGCAAGAAGATCGGAGCGATGAGCCGGTAGCATGTTCTGGACAGTCAGAAACGTTAAGATGTCATATCCATTTACTCGTTGAGGTAGGTAGCAATATAAAGTACCTCGATGCCTGAGTGGATGCATCAGGATTTCATTCGCCATTCTACACTACTGTTTTTCTCATTTCGCCTTCTAAATTTGCACTCCGAACCAGCGCAACACCATTGGAAGTGATTTCTTGTACAGGAGATTTTCTATCGTCGTTTTTGCGTAGACGGTGGTTAACTTCGTCTTGTCGCCCAAATCCATCTAAAATAATGTGAATTCTGCAGTCATTTAATCGTCAAGTGGTCGACTGTACCGCGATTAGCTGACTAAACTTAGTGAAGGGTCATCGATTATTGTAGATGTGAGTAGTGGCGTGGAAAGCAGAGCTACATTAAGCCTTAGACAACCCATTAGGCAGAGGATGCGGGAATCTTACACTTAACCTAACATTTATTGGGAGACTGATGGAAACGAACTAATCCTAGGAAATTTCGTTGCAGCAAGTTGATCATTATTCCACTGGAAGTTGATTTTATTTATGAACGAAAACTAACATGTCTGCAAAGATCTCCAAACAGGTAACCCCGACACCATAAATGTTTTTTCATATACTATTATCAGGGCGTATATGAGGTTATCAGCACGACGGCAAGTTGTTACCTGCTCATTAATAGTCAGGTTCCTAACGGAAATCAAGGGAAAAACTGCATGGCATTGTATTCGCATATATATATATATATATATATATATATATATATATATATATGCCATTATCTGTCTTTGTCGCACCTTATGGATAGTATTTCTGATACAGCCCTAGTGAACACGCCAATGGTCCCATTAAATTCAGATCTCTATTGTTCCTTCTTGTTTTCACGTGAATTGATACTTCCGACTTCTTTGTACTGGATTTCAGACGAAGTGGAACCCATGAAATCTCGCACAACAGAAGGTACGAAATAATCACACGTTCTGTCTTCTCAAGCCCCGGCGATGGGGACTGCAACCAGAGCTAAATTTGGATTGTTTTGCTCCGACTACTGTCGGTGTCTGTTGTAATCCAGATATTCCAATTAAAAGACAGCAGTTAGAGTCGGTTTACAGCAAAAAAATAGCGTGTGTGTGTTGGATCGAAGTTTTCACGTATTAGCCAGGTTCGAACGAAGTCGCTGACTGGTCTTCCGAATCAGCCAACTACATTATTGGAGCTTGGGGAGAACTGTATATCTGATAGTATTTAAGCTGTATAATTACTGCACACTGTCTTCGAAGTAAGTGACAAAATGCGCTTCCGCCAGCACTGACCGCAGTCATTCATATTAGTAATATTTTCCGGTGGCATCCATTGTTTGTACACAATAATGCATAAGGGGGAAATTTCGTACACACATCATAAACGCTGCAAAATGAAAGCCATTGAATTCTGTCGAGCCCAATTGTGTGGTCTCAATTAGATGAACAGGTAATCATTCCATTATTAGAAGGACCCTGTAATAAGACAATTCATCAGACCACTAAAGTGGAACTTTATGGTCATCGGCATACTCTTGTGATACAACCATCCGTCTTGCGTCCGTACCAGTAGCATGTCAAAGTTACGGTATCCTAAGGTACGTCCAATCTCTTCTATGAGTAGCCATTGAATAAATGATGTCATTTCATTTGAAGCTTCCATTTGACTTCTGCACTGTTTCGCAGTTACCGTGTCACATGCATCCACCATTCAAGAAGAGACAAGTTGTCTGGTTCAAAGGCACATGTCTGTTCTATTTTGCAGGCATTAAGTGAGCTTAAGAAACCATACGTTAATAAATTTCCAGCTCAATTAGTGTGAAGTATTAGTGCTAACTAGGACATCGAGCACGTGGCCACTTCAAAAGATGAAGTGCCCCTGGTTGTTGGAGTATTACCTCGTGAGTTTGCAGATGTATCTGTTTTAATGGTGTGCTAGTAGACTAGATGAATGAACATGCATCGTGAAAAAGCAGACATTATGAGAAGGAAGGCAGTTTGTAAAAGTGTACCTTCCAGCGCGATTTCTTAACGTGGCGATAATTGATTTCCTCATTAAAATGAGTGAGAGCACACTACTTTAAGACACTTAGTTGATCATAAAATGGTTGACGTGTACCTCTCTTCCTTTTTCCCGAGTCAGTGTGTTCTTCGCTGACTGTATTATATCATCTGTCGAGAGATTCTATTCCTATGAATATCGATAACATAGCTTAAGATAATTCGAGATTAGACCATGTTGGTAATATGGCTAAGTGGCTCTCATCAGTACTTCCTATAACGACCCAGTAGGATTGAGGATTATGTACCCTGACTGTTTCCATATATTTTAAATTTAAAAGTATCTCCTAGATAATACGTCTTTTTAATCCAGGTGACACTTGACTTCGTTGTTGCTACAACCTTCCTTAGTTAGGAAGATGGGTGTTTCTACCAAAATTCTTCAAAAACAGCACAAGATTCGGTTTCACGAGAGTACGAGTCGACCGATGAAGACCAAAACATAAGAGCACATTAATTTGTACTCCCTTCTTCGTAAAACACTCACTTGGTCGCACTGGGGAAATACTGATTGGCCAAGTCCAACTACCGAAATACACAAACTCATAACGGAGGGGAGTATTCTGCAAGAGAGATTTTAGGGAAAAGCCATCGTATTTTGAGACGACTACATCTAATCACGTCAACTGGCTGTCGTCAGTGTATTAGTCAGCCTAGCAAATGTTCCCTGCAGTTCCTACCTACGAAAGACGTCCGACGCCGGGTCAACAACGTAAAACATACGCTACATTGAGACTGGAGCTTGAGATGGCTCGATGGTTAAGACGCACACTCACTGACCGGAAGACCTATGGTACGAACACTCCCTATGTATTATGACCGTTGCTGTTTTGACTTGGGCAACTTGGCAATATCTTGGCCCTCGTGCTCCCTTCCGCTGACATGGCAACTAGGTTGCTACAGCTGAACCATTACTACTATCACTGTTATTGTTATTATTATTACATGTTACATTAAGACTAGGACATCTTAATTTAATTAGTTGGCACTGACCAAAAGGCAGCTACGTCTGGAGGCAGAAGCGCCATCCCGGACAAGATGTAGTAGTCACTTCAGAGTCTCACATCTCACCTTCAGGTTCTGGAACTTGATGACAAAACCACTGGACTTGGTATCGCCGCACCAGTTCCATAAAACTAGAACTCTCAAAGCACAAGTTTGGTTACCCAGTTTTGATTTTTACCTATAAAATTCACAATCTCTGGTGGTGCATCCTGTGTCGGTCTCCTTCATGCGTGAAGAGATTGATATTTGCGCCCAATCTAGTGTAGATTTGATGTTCACAGTCAAGTAGGCATACTAATGAGAAAAAACCGCGAAACCTTCCACACATTAACATTTTTTGGAAAAAAGTGAAACAGACCGTCATCAAATACCACACAAATTCTCATCAAAGCTAGTCCGCTTTTTCCGTGCAACACAGCTCGTTTTTTAAACAATTGAAAATTGGAGTGCTAATTAAATGGTTAGGCAGGATGCATTATGGTTCAGGTAATTCGTGGGGCGCAAATTGTCTTTAAGTTGTGAAGCCCCGGTAAAGGAATCTTCATCCACCAAACAGAATACATTTTCAGCTGGGATACACTATAGTATTTGTCTTTTAAAACAAACTTATTTTAGTCGAGCGTCCTTCATCATAAGGTTCTCATTAAGTTAACTTTTATCTTGTACAATTTCAACGTCAGAGTTGTTCTAATTATGAGCAAAACATGTTGCGCTTCCGTGATGCACTGCCCCACCATCATCCCACAATTCTCTTGTTGGGTTACAATTCCAGAGTATGAACTAGCTGATCAGTAGGATGAAAATCCGAGGACAACAGATTTCATTGTGCGAAGTAAGCGAAAGTATCAGTTGGGAGATCGACTCTTTTTTTCATCTGCTGTGCGGAGTGGTAGTATGCTGTTAGGCGTGTTGACGTACCGTTCACTCTATCACCAACGTATGAATGACTTTGCTATTCATTAGTCCAGAGGGTGAGTTGCTTCGACCTCACTCTTCCGTGATTTTAACGTCAGGCCAGAGTACTTTAACCAAACCTCGTTATCTAAAACAAGGATGAGAAAGCGCGCTTTAACTTGAGGGTGTAGCGACCCCGCAACCAACATATTTGACTGTTCAACTCAGCCGCTC